CGCCTTTTCGTTGTCGAGATATCCGGCGAAGAGTTTGTTTCCGCGGACACAGATCTCCCCGTCCCGTCCCGGACCCATACTCTCACCGGTGGTTAAGTCGATGATCTTGAGCTCACATCCCGGCGCTACAGTGCCGGCGTTGCCCGGAATAAACTCGTCGCTGGTGTCGGAGCCCGTGGTTACCCAACAAAACTCAGTCATACCATAGGCTATTGAAATACATTATGAATTAAATATAAATGTTAAAAAGTTGTAATAATTTTAATTTATATTTAATTATAGATTTTTATTGAATTTTTTAGATTTTTAATAAATAATTTATTATATTATTTTCACTTTGATTTTTTTATAATACTGTAAATAAATAAAACTATAACATTATGTTTATTTATATTTGTTGATAAACTCTAACTTTAAAATTATTTTTAAAAATCTGTGAACTGTTTTAAAAAATTCATACGAATGTGCTTAAACTAGTATAATTTATATTTTACAAACTGTAAATAATCTCAATTTATGAATTAAATAGATTAAATTAAATAAATATACATTTTAATGAACCTTTCACATAACAACCAGTGTCAACTACTGTACTAAACATTTTATCCACCATGAACTACTCTAAATGTTAATGTAGCAATAAAAGTTTTAATTATAAATTTTACCTTTAACCAATAAATTAAAACAACTTTTAAATAAATTAATGCTTTTCAGTAAGAATACATTAAATGAAATAAATGTAAAAACATAACTAAAAAGTATTTAGCCTACTGTAAATAACCAAAATACATTTCCAAAAACATACCCTCCTTAAACTGAATGGGCATGAATAGCTACTATCGAAACCGTTATAACGGCCCTTTCCGCCGCGGTGGCCACGAGTACGGGAAGTCCGAGCTCTCCAGCATGAATAGCTGCTCTAGAGGATCGATCAGTCGGCGCCCGAATGCGGGAAACGCCGGCAAAACATTGATCCGGTATTTCTCGATGGACTTCATTAGCAACTCTTCGCTAAACTCCCCGAATATGACTAAACGGAAGCCATTTATGACTTGCATGGGTATCATAACTGTGCCCGATATGTGTCCGCACGGGTATTGCATGGCGAGCACCACCTGTTCACTCATCTCATAATTCAAAAACGTTAGGCTTTCCTGTGAGCCCGCTATAAACGTACGGTGCGGTATCATCGCGCACTTGGGCCTACCGGTGCTGCCGGACGTGTGTATGAGAAACAGCATATCTATATCCGGATTAACCTCAAAGTATGGTATCTGCGGGAGTGTCCGACCGGTGCCCTCCGCCACCAACTGGTCATACGTCACGTGTTTGTCGCGTTTTCCGTCAAAAATAACCACAAGTTTAACGCCATTTATGTTATTATTCTGCGAGTCATCCAAAACCCACTGAAACTTATGGAAGTCGTCGGCGGACGACACGATAATGTTAGCGCCGGCAGCCGTGAACTCCTGGCGCACCTCATACTTCTCAAACGTGGGGCTCAACGGCATGAACGTTAGGCCTAAAAATTTGACGGCAAATCGCAGTACGGCGTGTTGTATGGAGTTTTGGCCGTAGAAAGCAATTCTGTCCCCTTTGGTGACCCCCCTGTCCACCAGGGCTACCGCCACGGCATTGGCACGTGATTTGAGTTCACCGATAGTTAACTGTTTGCCACTTAAGGCTTCCGTCTATAAGCGAGATATTATAATGTGTTTTAAAAATTACTGTTTGCGAATAAACTGTAACTTAGAAATATATAGTCATTTAGATTATTATCAGGTATAATTTATTGAATTTTTGGTTTTCCATCTCAAGACTTGTTATTAAAAATAATTTTTAGTTTTTTGAATTAATTATCTTATTTTTAATTATTTATTTAGGTCAGTGAATGTTACGTAGTAGTATATATCTAGGTTTTCATATTAGCGTAATTAATTTATCACTATTTAAGCATTTACAATTTATTAATAAATTATTGAAATAAAAGTCTATACTAAAATTAAAAACATAAATAATACTGTACTGTAGAAATATACTGTACTTATAATCTTTCAAAGTTTCTTAAATTAAATATTTAACTAAGAAAATAATTGTTTAATATAAGGCTTTGCGAATTTTATCGCGTTACAATTTAATTTAACACTTAAATTGTTCTTGTCTAAAATACAATGATTAAAAATAAATTAAAATACATACCAAACACACGGCATTACTATCAAGTTTTTGCAATTTATCCCAAATATAAGCGCCGACTGTTTTGAATTCACTTTCAATCACAGGTCTTTTGGATCGTAATATATTATCCTTGCCCATTTTTAAATCAATATTTTTTACCTAGTATACTTTTTGCTAGTAAATGTAAAATTATTTGTTGAACTCAATTTATATGATTTCTATTTATACCAAATTTTCAAATGTTACGATTAGCATACATTTTAGGATTAAACCTGTGATCAGGGTCCTTGAGTTTTGGTGCAAAACTATTAGTCCGCAAAATAAAATCAAAAAGTTTGTTTGTTTATCAGTACACCCTGATTAATTTCTGATAAACATGGCCATAACCAGGATTATATTGAACTAGAAAACTATTTTAAAATTTTAATATATTACTAATTTTATATTAAAAATTATTTATATAATGTTCATTATACAATTTATAAACTATAATCCACATAACAAATTATTTAATCTAAACTAAAAAGTAGTTAATGTATACACCTTTGTTCAATTAATTTAAAACTAACTGGTCATGCCCAGTTTACTATTATATTTGCTTAATTGCTATCAAAAATCAATATCAAATATGCACTCTGTTTATACCTAAACTTATCAATACATGTGTTTGTTTTAAAACCAATACTGATAACACGTATTTTGCGAAATGCGGCAATTACTTTGAAAGCACAGTAATAAATTACATGGGCATACATGTTAGCGATAAGTATTGTTTGTACTCGATGAATAGATAAATAAAATATTTATTAATAATTATAAGTTATTATGCAATCTATTAAGCATATTGGTCCAGACTAATTGGATATAGTGGTTATATTTAATGTAAATATAGGCTGACATAATGATTGACGTGTTTATTACATCTTGTCGTCTATTCTGAGACAAACATACAGTCGAGAGAGAGAGAGAGAGAGAGAGATTAAACACAAAGGTTTTGAGAAATTATATACAAAATGTTTCAAGAACCTAAGTTAAAATGTATAATATATATCTGATTTTTATAGTAATCGTATGTATTAGTGTGTTAAAAGTTTATAATATTATGAATATTTTTATATCTAGAAGTTTTATTTTAAAAAGATACAAATTATTTTTGAATTTTTACAAATTAGATTCAAGGTTCATATCTAAATTAAAAACACTCAAATAAAACTTAAGAAATTTACAGTAGAATTGAAATTATTTTTGTTATATAAATTATTATTTTGTTTTTAATTTTTCAAATCTATTCTGGTTCAGTAGTTGATAGCAAGGTATATAATCGACATTCGCTTAGTCTTGCAAAAGGTACGGTTAATATGACATACTTATTTCAAATGAATTATAATTTTTTCCCCAGGCTCATACAATTTATGAAAATAAATGCTAAGCTATACAATTAAATTAAATTATTAGTAATTTCTATTAACTATACAAAAATTTATTATTTATTAACAAATATATATGATATACTAATTTTGATAAGCAATAGTAAAATCAAATTAAATTGCAATCAAGTTGTATATTATGGTGAATTTAAATTATATAATTAATAGAAATAACTAATATTTTTTATATAATAGTATAATTAATAATTTATTTAATAAATTATAAAAACCTGGAAAAAAATTCAATCACTTGATATACATTTTGTAGATCCAGATTATAAATTATCTAAATACATTATTTATAACAAATGAATAATATATTTTTAGTTACAAATTATGAATAAAAATGAACTAAAATTTTTATTTAAAAATTAATTATAGAAAATTATACAAATCAAAAATATTGATAGGTTTTTAATTTATAGACAATAAAGACAAATATGTTATTTGAAATTAATGTTTAAATTATTTATTAGAATGAAAAATATATAATAACGTATTATGCATGTGAGCACAGTGATCAGGCACAATTAGCTGACAAAGCTAAGGATAAGCATATAATTGGAGACAACGGCGTAAACATAGAAAGCGAACTCAAGTGAAGACATACGGAATAAGTCGTGAATAGAGAACCCGATGTCATGTCTGTCTAACCTCTCGATGAACACCAAAACCCTTAACCGATGTCTCAGTGAAAGGGTTTTGCAATTCATATGCGAATACAGAATATGAATGCTTTTATGGGCGGATCTACTGACTCGAGTGGTCAGGTAGTTGACCACAAATACATCCGAAAACATTACGCTAAACAGGAATCCCATCACAAATCGCACCGTTAGTTTAGTTTCCTTTGCAAACGTAATATACAATAGTATTTCTATGGCAGGGGTTCCGAAATAGTAGATCACAAACAGTAAGTACTTGTAGTGTATGTTAAACTTATGGGTCATTATAGCAACAAGGTTATGCTCATTAATTGTTCTCATTAACAATGTGTTAATTCTAAGTTTTATAGCCATACGAATGTCCATGTGAATTTCTCCAAATTTATATTTTAGGTAATTACTCGCTGCATATATAATGAAATATCCTATGAAAATCATCCCGTACAATTGTGCTAACCATGCTGCAGTACATACTGTCCAAAACGCCACACCTAAAGTGAATAATAGATAAAGGTATTTAATATTGTAATAATAAATAGTATAAATTTCTGTTTAAAAATACAACAATAGTTAATTAAATTTTAATATATTATATTTATTGAAAAATTATATATTTGATTATGTAATAGAGGGCATCACTTATTATAATAAGATTACACGTGTATAGTGGCGCCAACTTTACGTCAAACATANTCGCTGCATATATAATGAAATATTCTATGCAAATCATCCCGTACACTAGTGCCAACCATGCTGCGGTACATACTGTCCAAAACGCCACACCTAAAGTTAATAATAGATGAAGGTGTTTAATATTGTAATAATAAATAGTATAAATTTCTGTTTAAAAATACAAAATAGTTAATTAAATTTTAATATATTATATTTATTGAAAAATTATATATTTGATTATGTAATAGAGGGCATCACTTATTATAATAAGATTACACGTGTATAGTGGCGCCAACTTTACGTCAAACATACCTAATATAGTGAAACCAGAGTCGGGGTCCAAATAAGCCGTAACCGACGCCCAGAATATCACACCATTTGAGACAATAAATGTCAACCAATATGTTTGTCTCAAAACATATTTGGCAGACAAATTGAGTTTTAACAAAAACTTTCGGTTATTCCTTGCGTTTAAAGGGGGCGACACTTGACCACGTTTGACATCCAGGGCAAAATTACAGATATATAATTGACGCCTATCTTGAAGCCATTGGCTATTAGTGCCGATGAATAGTATGACAAACGCCGCGACACTCATCATCAGTGATGTAAGTCTCGGGTTACCCAACATGTAGTTTGCGTCGCATAATAGGGCCCTTATATAAGGTTTATTGATAATGGCTGATATGGCATACCTGACCCCCACTAACACCAGTAACCCGCGGGCCAGTAGTTGACGAGATTGATAGCGGGTATATAATCGCCATTCGCGTAGTCCTCCATAGTTATGGCTAATATGACATACCTATTGAGAAATGTGTTGAGAATTTCAAATGAGTTCAAATCATGGTCATTTTTGTCGACAAAATAAGAGTATAATTTTTGGTGCAAATATGTTAAAATAGAATTCATTATGAAGTTTGTTTATAATATTATTTATAAATGCAATGTTTTATGGTTAACAGAGGGTTTTAATAATAAACATATTTATTTCATAATGCGCATTTAATAGTAATTATTAAAATAACAATTATGAAGTATATTATATATTATATAATTTAATAAACATAATTAATAATTAATATTTTAGTTTTCAAATTATTATTTTAGTGCTTTATTATAATGTATTAATGGAACTTTAAATGATCACCATGACAATAATATTAAAAATACTTTCATATTTCAAAACAATCATCATAATTTAATTGCTAATTTTCGTGCATTTAGAATAGTTTTAATATAAATATACCCTAATTATCGGGAGATAGCACGCGTATTATACGAGAAAAAAAGTTATTTTTATGAAAAATATTAAGTGGCGTACTATACGCCGGATGCGTATTATACGAACAAAAAGCATGATTTTTCGGTAATTATTGAATGTGTACTATACGCCGATGCGTACAATCTCCCGATAATCAGGGTAATATTAAATATAAGTATTATATGGATGGGCCAGTGCAGAATAATGCCTAGAAAAACAGTTTTCAAACTAAATTTGCAATTTGCTAATGTTAATGTGTGTTAGTGCTAAAATTACAGTTTAAAATGTATATTTCTAGGCATACTTCAACAACTCGTAGTCCATATATTTAATGATTAACAGAAGTTTTAAAAAAGTTTTTACATGGAGTAGTGTACTACTGAAACTTTAAAGTTTAATGATCACCATGGCAATTCTATTAAGATTATCAAAACTTTCGATATAATCAATATTAATTGATCTGTTTTTAATTTATTGCCTTATTTTGAGTTTAATTTATAAAGTTTTTAATGATATAATAAATGAAATTACATAATTTGAACTTAATGCAAATGATAATACAGAATTTTGGAAATTTTATAATTTATAAATTAAAGTTAAAATATATTCTAAATAAAACACTCAATGAGCAAGATTACATAATTATTTTCATTATAAATTTAAAATAATATAGCATACTATAGCATTTAGTTAATAACCTGATTACTTTTGCCAATTTACAACAGTACAATTTGAACAATAATTTGAATGCATTAATTTTCTATGTTACGGTTTTATAAACGATAAAAGTAATTTTATTTATTACATAATAACTAATATTAATGACAATAATTAACATTCACATCACTATTATGTAAACATATTCATGATAAACAAATAATTAGTGACAATCGCATAGACATATAGTTAAAATATTCTTGAATAGTTAAACTTTTTAACCTTAGTTTTGCGATGTACATTATAAGATTATGTTATAAATGAACATTTGAATTAATTTATAAATTGGATCTCACCTTAAAAGCAAATAATTATAATAGATTATATACAGTTCTAATAAAACATGGTAATCTTATTGAGGTTAGTCAACATTTTACATAATCAATATTAATTTTAGTACATAAAAATATTATTCAAAATTGTTAATACTTCAAAAAATGAACATAAGTTAGTTGCTAATTTTAATATTGCATGATTATATTATTAACAATATTTGTTTTAATTATAACATTAGTAAAATATATTTTATATTTTTTATT